CTTAAATCAAGTCAAAAGCCTTGTTCCGACCACTTTTGGTATCCGGAAAAACCTTTGTTGCTATTTCCGACAACTTTTTGCTTTTGAATTGATTTAAGATTAATTTCAGGTGGTCGGAAATTCCATAATTTTCAGTAGTGAGTTACGAATTCGAGTCCCAACAAGAATAGTGAAGGCTAGTTGGTGTTAGGAGGGGATTGTTGGATAGAGGCCGTTAAAAGGCTGAGTCCAGCACCCTAATGTGTGGCAGTATAAGAAAATAAAGTATAGCGTAAGTGGTAAGCATTTGGAGGGGGATTGTTGGGCGGAGGCCGAGTCCAGCACGAGTCAAACACCCTAATATGTAGCGGTATAAGTAAATAAAGTTTAGCATAAGTGGTAAGCGCTTGGAAGGGGATTGTTGGACGAAGGCCGGTAAAGGGCCGAGCCCAACATCCTAATGTGTGGCAGTATAAAGAAATAAAGTTTGGCTTGGAGGAAAATTGTTGGGCAGAGGACAGTAAAAGGTCGAGTCCCGCCCTAACACCGACTATGAACAAAAAATTAACGATTAGATCATCATCATATGCTCCCAAAACACAAGTATAGTACCTCTTTGATTTTCCTTTGGCTTTGATGATCTTTGATACCAAAGTAACAAGGTGATTACTGTCAATATAAGGCCAGTAACTCCAACTGCACATGCAAGAATCAAATTTTTCTTGCTGCTTGAAATTCCTGGAAAAAAAAACAAACATGCTAATCAATATCCCATCTTTATTGCTTTCAATATTAGAGAAATAATGGCAGTATGATTCCCTTACCCCTTACAAAGAATGGAGTGATGTCTATTGTCTGATTATCAAGAAAAAACGGTGTATGTGAATACCTAAGGAAGCACCCTGCATCAACTGCCCTTCCTTCTCCAAATTTTGCTATACATCCCTGTATATAGCAGTCTTAGCGAACAGAGCTTTCGGTAAACTATATTCGTGTTTGGTAAGCGTTCGTTTATGTTCACTTATTAAGGTAAACGAACATAAATAAACAAATATTAGAGCTCGTTTAATAAACAAACAAACAGAGGAATATGGTCGGAATTTCGTTGGAGGTTCTCCGGAACCCTAGTGACCTGTAATTATAGGTCATCAACGGGGTTTTGGGTCTCAATGCTCTAAAATAATATGTTTAAGGGTTTAATTGCGCAACCTTTGAAAGTTTAAGGGCTTAATTGACTTCTTGAGTAATGTTCAGGGGTCTATTTGACCCTTTTCCTTCAAAAAAAAAATAAAAAATTAAGATAGTACTTTAGTTTAGCCTAATTTTTTATAGTCGTTATGTTTTTTGCTTAGTTATTGTTTGTAAACATAGACTATTTCTTGTTCATTAACATGTACATGTGTTTGTCTGTTTGTTTAGCGTTTGTGAACATGTGTGTTTGCTAACATTAACGAATACGTTCGTGAACTTAAAAAACACTAACTTATACTTAACAAACGAACACCAACAGAATTTTCAAAAATCTTAACAGTACAAATGAACACGAACACTTAAAAATCTTATCAAATGAACACACCGAATAACCTCTGTTCGGTTCGTTAACGGGCCCTACCTGTATGTTGTGGTGTGCCACAGTCAAGCAATCTCTGCAACCTTTCTCCGTGATAGTTTGGATGCACTGGGCTACCGCATACACAATTGTATCACCCACACCAACTTCTTTTTTTGTGGCTGCAAAGAAATTTGTGGTCCTGGGGGTTGCAATTATGAGATCATTCAGTAGTACAGTTTTTGTGTTGTTGTATTTATAGCCTGTTCTTGAGAGTCTTTTCGTTTCTGACAAATCTCAACATTTCCTGTGAAAGTAGTCTCGTCATAGAAGTAGTTGCTCTCGTACCTTGATAACAGAATTCACCAATATAACTTTCAACTCATAGCTAAAAATAGGGCATTTTACCATCATCATTAGAATTATGCAGAAACAAAATATATAGCATGTCAAATTAGTAGTATTACTTTATTGGAAAAATCACTGCTTTAGTTCCTCAATTATTTTGTAACTGTCAATTTAGTCCATATTTTTTAATTTGAAACGAATTTGATCCTCGAATTATTTTAAATTTCTTCAATTAAATCCCTTTGACACAATTTCGTCAATTTAAACTCTTACCTGTGACTGGAAGGTATGTTTACTTCTCAGTCACACCGTCGAGAAGTGTGCACTCAAATAAGGGCAACTAACAATTTGAAATAAGGGCGACCAAGAAGCTAAGTAAACTTACTTCTCGGCTAGGTCGAAAAGTATACTACTCTTGCCTATGATTGGAATGTATGTTTACTTCCCGGTCACATTCTAGGTTATTACGTCTAAGAAGTGCGCACTCAAATAAGGGCAGGGCAACTAACATATATATGAGTGACAGAATAGTGCTAAAGGGACTTAATTGACGAAATTTAAAACAATTCGATGATCAAATTCATTCAAATTAAAAAGTAAAAACTAAATTAGCTCTTGTAAAACAATTGAAAGACCAAAACAGTTACTTTCACTTACTTTATGTATTAGCTTGTGATAACACATTTAGGGTATGTTTCCATTTTTCTAGAGAAAGGCCGGGAAAACAAAAAATATGTTTACTCGTACATTTGGAAAACAGAAAACACAGAATGGACCCGAGGATGGAAAACGAGAGAATTGAAGTAAACGCAATCTACAGTTACGAAATTAGAGATGAAACTAACCTGAGTAGGCAGCCATCAAATAGGACACGAGCACCATTGGCATCAGAACAGCTATGAATTTCAGACACTGCAGCATCATAGCAAGCAACACAATCCAGTTTAGAGAGATAGTTCCTGCACTGAACCATGGCATACACAGGTTGCTGTGTCGTTGCAAACCGCTTATCATCGCCATTGTTCAATTGGATTCTAAGATCAAAAAAGCTGGCATTAAGGTCTCTGAAAAAACTTTTCTGGTTGCTAATATTGTATGTGCTGCATCCCTTGGTTAACAGCATAGTTTCCGGGCTTGATTCTCCCAGTTTTAACCTCATTATTAGTCCACAAACTATGACTACCATTAGAGAGCTGTAACTCCACTGGCTTGCCATAGTTATAGGTATATATTGCTTATTAGCACATTGCAACAGTTCAGGGTTCTGGGAAGATTTAATTAGTTCAAAACTTCTAGATATTAAAGATGGTTTTATAAAAGGTATCATAATCGGAAATAGTTGGAAAGATTTAACATATATATAGTGTAATTAATTTGTTAGCCAAGAAAAAAAGTTCAAGTCTTTATTAGACAAAAACTATTTTGTGCCATGGTACATGCATGTGATAGAAAATATTACGTTTTAGCAAACTTTATATGATGTTACTGTTCACTTCTGTTTTTGCGTTTGACAATATTTATTATTTAATAGGTTGAAATGTTCACATCTGGCTTGATACGACATGCTATATCTGGACTCATATTATATTAGTATATTACCATAACAGATATAGTAACTTTGGATATTATCATGGCTGTACTTATGTAGTCAAGCCCTTAGTCTAGGTTAATTTATACATGTGCTGCACATTTTAATCTTTCACATTGGATTGGATAAGAAAATTATACATAATAGCTCTGACACCTAATTAAATACCCAGATCCACTATGATGTTTTACCTAAAATGTATATGGTTAATGGTATCAGCACTATTTTTTTTAGTACTCGTACTACTACTGGAGCTTGAATCCATGATCTCCCATTTGGGAGAGTCACATCGTGCTACTAGATCACAAGGTTATTGGCTGGTATCACCAATATAGTATTGAGTTTCATGGAAAAATCTGGCAGATTGGTTGCAACATATTGACTATATCCCTTGTTTAATTGTGTGCTTATCCCTGGACCCTGGACCAAGATTTACAGTACAATGCAAGCCAAATGGAGATTGATTGTATGAGTAGTTTAGTTAATGTTAAGAATCTCACATTGATTTTTTTTTTTTTTTCCTGAAACACTCCTGCGACCATCAATTTCTAATGGTGTCATCACATTATATAGTAGTTGACAAAAGTTTTATATTGATAAAATAAAAAAAAGAATATATGATTTTATAAGGCAATGAGTTAGACTAGCTAATTTAATTGATTGCATTTAGTCTTTTAGTATTACTTGACCATGTACATTATAGCCCAATCGAAACAAGTTAACAGATAAGAGAGTTCCTGATTATTTAATGAATTAATGTTGTGATACACTCAGGCTGATGCTGCAGTTATTATTATTATTATTAGTGTATAGTGGAAACATGGGTAATTATAATGCAATAATGAGTTAGTGGGTGATTTGGAGTTGGGCTGCCACTCGAAGCACAACCATGTCTCTTCTCCCTCTTTTTCTGGAGTTTAACTCTTGACTCGAAGAAGAGCAACCCATGCAACCTTAGGGTTGTATCATGTTGTTTCCTTAAAAAAAAAAACATATAGAAGATTGCACACTCAAGGAATCCGTCCATAACCTTTTTTGTGATTTAGAAATGAGCTTACCATGTACACTCTTGTAATGTTGAGATCCCTATGTAATATGAATAGTACAGTAGTTTTATTATTATTATTATTATTATTATTATTATTATTATTATTATTATTATTTTAGAATTTTGAGTATGTGTATGAATATAAAAAACAAGATAATGGTGTATGCTTTCTGGTCTTGCAAACTAGCTTCTCATCACTAGTTTACTTAGATTAAATGCTTCTCGCAAATAACTTAAACATTTAATGCACTTCTCATGCAAAGAAAGAAGAGATTATTTCACTTCAATTCAGAATATTACAATCTTGTTTGAACCATTTGGTTATGGTGTATTTATAGGAAAAGAAAAAAAAAAAAAAAAAAAAAAAAAACACTCACCGTTTTTCCATTGAACCTAAGAACTGAAGATTTTGACCATATTGTGGTCTGTTGAAGGCAAAGAAAATATCAAACACAGTTTTTTTTTTCTTTTTTCTCTAAAGAAGATAGTAAGATAAATCAGAGCCTTATTAACCACTGTATGTATGAAAATCTGAACTGACATTAAAAGTTTCTTAACTGGTGCTAAAGACTAATTTATGAGTTACAAAAAAAAAAAAAAAAAAAAAAAAGAGCAAAAACTGAAATTAACTCTTCAGCAATAAATTGGGTTTATGAGCCGTTGGAGCAGCATACTCGTTATTGATTTGAGCTTGTTCAGCAATTAAGTCAAAACTTATTCTCATTGTGTTTGAACCGGATTCCAATTGCATGTAATGAATTCAAAGGCGATGGTAGTGACCGAGAGGCACTTACAAGGGACCTGGAAAGCAGCCATTCTCCCTTTGCTCGTTCCATTTATCTATCTGCATCCAAAAGCATTGTCAAGTTAGAACCGAAGTAGTTTAGTGTACACTACAGTCCTAATGTACAATAATAGCTACTAAACTCTGGAGCTTCATAACATCTAAATGTAAACTATCAAACACCATCTCTACCATGTACTTCCCAAACAAGATAGCCACCAGATCAAGGGTAACCCCAGCCAAGATGGCTAAGGATACAAACTTGTAACCACAAGATCACGAGTTCAAATCTCAGCCTTCTTGGTTTGAGCCAGTCAGCTATGAACAACCTAGACTGGTTTACCTCCTTGTGGTCCTTTACCGGCTAGGATCACAAGGAGGGGTTTACTCAGTGGCTACAGGTTTCTCCCGTCACCCAAAAAAAGAAGAAGACGAGTACAGGGCTCTATAAACCAGTGTTTAAATCCCCGTGTTGGCAGTAATAAAAGAGGAAGAAGATAGCACACCATTTTAGCAGAGTGACATAAGAAGTATAATCCCAATCTATTATGATGGACAATTGTGAGGATTCTAAGTTAGTTAAAGTAGGCAAAAACCAGCAGGGTAGCATACACCATGTTCTTGTAGTGACAGAACAGAACATAGTAATTAAGATTGGGCTAGGGTAACTCAACTGGACAATAATGCACATGGGTCAAACCACACTAAAAAATTGAATTCAACCAATTAACTAGTTTAACCCATGGACTTATAAACTCATATGCTCTCACTTATTTTATCAATGTGGGAAACTCTTAACAAGAATATTACCCATTCGCCTGGGCAAAGGGAGCGATAATACTTTGCAAACTTGTCACACTCAGGTGCACCGTCACCCTTTGCAGCTATGCACCTGAAAGGCAACATAAGCTACATCACTATTCTTGGACAGAAACGTTTATGAAGCAAGATATAAATGGAAAAGAAGTACCAGCATTACTCGTTTGACTCACCGGTGATATTCAACATATCGGGTAAAGCAATGCCTAGTCTGGTTGGTAGTAGGGAACCGGAAATCCGCAGGAGCTGTCTCAAGCTGGTCCCAATTGTGACACAAAACGAGAGAGAAAGAGAGAATGAGCACATACAGTAATAAATATATAGAACGCATGATTCAACAAAGCAACTAGTATCCAAGAGACCAAGATTACCTTAATCTCAACAATACGGGTCTTTAAATCTCCTGCTGGCTCGATGGCCACATTTAATTTGTCGTCTTTCTCTTTCAGTAAATATTGCTGTGAACAAAAAGTATTACAAAAGATTGAAATGCAGCAAGAGCCCCTAATAAGAGGAGTAAAGGAGCATTTCTATGAAAGGTTCAATGGAAGAGGCATTCAATACTTTCTTTCTAAATGTTAATAATATTTAATTCTTGGGTACAATTGCATATATAGGGATGGGCATATGAAGCTAAAGAAAAATACACTGCAGGAAATTATAGAATTTTCGACCACCTAAAATTGATCTTATATCAAGTTGAAAGCAAAAAGTGGTCAGAAATAGCAACAAAGGTTTTTCCGGATACCAAAAGTGGTCGGAACAAGGCTTTTAACTTGATTTAAGATCATTTTAGGTGGTCGGAAATTCCATAATTTCCGGTAGTGAAATTTTCACCCACTTAAACAAAACAATTCATAGTAAGTTAGTAGATTATTTTTCAAGATCAAATGTTAAGTGCAAAACGGAAAGTTCTGTCATATCCAGCCTACATCAAGGCAGGATAAGAAAGAAGATTTTCCCAAACATAAAATGGCATAAATCCCAACAGAGGCAAGAACAAAGAAATGTGATCTCCATCATCTCAACTAATTCAAATATAAATAAGCAAGTAAAAAGCAATTAAACCAAACAAAACAGCATAACATAAACATCTGGATCAATAATAAGAATCCATTATATAAATGAAATCCACAGAATTCAGATCACAAACTAAATTGTGCATGTACATATAGATAAATACATAGTGAGAGATAAGAGTTTTACATCGGAGAGGGAAGGGTAGATTTTAGTATCGACGGCAGCCATTGATTCAGTCAGCTGCGAACTGCGGGCGTCGAGAGAGGGAAAAAGTGATATATGACGAGAAATTGAGTGGTGGGTGTGCGGTGAGTCGAGGAAAGATCCAAGAAGCTTAGAGAATAGAGTGGGAGGATGGTGGACGTGCAACAAACAATCCTTATACCATGGACAGGTTCTAAGTGTCCAATTTTAGTTTTTGGTGTTATGAAATTTTATACCTTAAAAAAGTATGAATTTTGTACTTGAAAGTTGAAATAAATTAGTAATTGTGTTCTATATTATGAATTTTTGTGTCTTGTTTTGTGAAATTATGTGCTTATGAACGTAAATTTTGTACCTAAATCATATTTGAAATATAAGTAAATATGTAACATGTGTATGTATGTATCTTGTGTTGTGATTTTTTGTGTCTTGTGTTATGAAATTTTGTACTGTACGAGTATGAATTTTGTACCTCGTCGTTTCGATCGAGAACCTATAATGCTATGTGGACTTGACCCATGATATCGGTTTTACATGAAGAAAGTGGTCGAGAAGGAAGCTACGAAGGGAAAGTCCAAATTTATTGAAGAGGAAGAGCATGCTCCTCCTTCATAGCAACCAACGAAAGCCTTTTCCAATGAAATGAGGAAGGCCCAAGCTTTTTCAAGGGGCAAATTATTCCCTGGACCCGTGTCCACAATGAATTGTGGACACGGGCCTAAAACGATGTCGTTTTTCAAAGAAAAAAAAAACGCGTCATTTAATTTTAAAAAAAAATTCGCACATGTTTTGCTTTTAACGGCGTTATTTTTTTTTTGGATTATGGATGTACAGTTATGCCGTTATGAATGTACAGTTATGCCATTATGAATGTACAGTTATGCAATTATGAAATTATGAACACAGAGCTCTAACATTATGAACTTACAATTATGAACATATAGTGATAAAATTATGACCATGGAGCTTTAAAATTGTGAATATAGAGCTTCGAAGATTATGAATGTACAGTTATGGAGTTATGAATGTACAGTTATGGAGTTATGAATGTACAGTTATGGAGTTATAAATCTACAGTTATGAGATTATGAATCTACAGTTATGGAATTATGAATGTACAGTTATTGATCGAATTATGAACAAAGAGCTCTAACATTATGAATTTACAATTATGAACATATAGTGATAAAATTATGAACATAGAGTTCTAAAATTGTGAACATAGAGCTTCGAAAATTATGAATGTACAATTATGAAGTTATGAATGTACAGTTATGGAGTTATGAATGTACAGTTATAGAGTTATGAACGTACAGTTATGGAGTTATGAATGTACAGTTATTAACATATTGTAATAAAATTATGAACATATACTCCTATAACGAAGCGGTCTGAAATTTTTTTTTTAAAAAAAAAAGAAAAAAAAAAAAGGAGATAACAGTGCATGCTGGACACGGGTCCAACGCATAACGATTGTTTTCAAGGTTTGAAGCGCAGTTTGTGGACCCGAATCCTCAAGCTGGACCAAGCACGAGAGTTCCAAGTCAACCGAATAGTCCAGTTTGAGAGGTCAGAGAAGACACAATCCGAGTTGATATTGATCGAATGGTTGAATAAGTCATATCAACTTCAATTGTTGAGGCTGAACAGTCAACCGATATTCAACCGAGTCATCAGGCCGAGGACGCAACTCATGCAGAAGCCAAGGAAACAACCCGAGAGGTTGAAGAGGCTATTCACCGAATGGTTAGTGATCTCATTGCCCGAGTGGTAGTAGCAGCTGAGCCGTCGCAAGTATCATCTGAGCCTGCTCGAGGGGTTGTAGAACTGAGCAAAGAGGCTGCCAATGTTGTTGAGATATCGAGTAGCTCTCCAACCACTCGAGAGGTAGTGGAACTGAGTGGTGAGTTATCTCGAGGAGTAGAAGTTCTATCAAGCTCACCTCGTTTGCTAACTACTCGAGAAGATGCAGAACCAAGTGGTGAGGCCGAGCATACAACCATTCATGAGGCATAACGATTCGCAACTCCTCATGCTGAATTTGATGAATGAGTGATTGTTGAATTTGATTCTAGCTTAGCCAGTACTGGTGGAAACTGAGAAGTGCTGACTAGTGCGAGCTCAAAGAATCTATAGCCGACCATCACATCCTGATTGTTGAAATAGTTTTTTGACTATAACAAAATTACCAATTTGGTCCCGAGTTAACGGATGTCTAACAACAAAATAAACGGATGACCAAATTGGTTAAGATTTTTAAAGTTGAGGGACTTAATTGGTCAAGAAAAATAGTCAATGACTAAATTGATAATTTCACTATAGTCAAGGGACCATTTCGATAATTAACTCAAAATAATATATATGGTATCAAATCATTAAAACATTCCAAACTTCTGTACCAACTTTAGCCAAAACATAGGGGGGGGGGGGGGGGTGGTGTAAACAAACAGTCATCACTAAGGATATGATGATTGAATTTGTTACTGTGTTACATAAACAAATTAACACGGCATAATTCTCTGTAAATAAAATCTCTGCATTAATTGATTTGAAGAGAGAATTTCAAATTATGTATTGTGTGTGGCTAAAAATAAAATTATGCATTATTATTATCCATCCAGATGATGCAACGCAGAGATTTCTTCTGCTCCAGCAACTCAAATGCTTGCATAATGTCTTCGAATTTGACTTCATGTGTTTTGAAACCCTCCAAATTCAGCTCCTGCATTTATTTATCGTAACCAAAAACGATTTTACTGTCAGACGTGTAATATTTTTTATAAATGTAAAAAAAATTGTTACATTTTAATTAAAAAGTATTTATCCAGATAAATTCGTGACAGTCACACATTAAACGCAGGCTAAAAAAGGACTACTCAAATAATGTCCCATCAGTTACCACCCCCTAACATTCGAGAAATAACAAGTTTTTTTTTTTTTTTTTCACTCGAAGAAACAACAAAATAGCAAAATAAAATGACAACCATATATTTGTCTGATTTGGAATAATGCATTGCGAAACTTACATTTTTCAGATATTTTTCAGCAAGTTCGGGAATATCAGTTTTGGCATTGATTCCTCCAAAATTGCACCCGATAATGGTCTTTTCTGCTAAGAGTTCGTAAGGATTCACACTTATTGGCTTTCCGTGCATTTCTACTCCAAGTATTATTGTATATCCACCCTATAAATTATAACTCAAAAAATTAATTATGTTAATAAACAAGTTTTACATAATTGAAGATAGAGTATCAATTTTAATAATGAAAAACCTGCAAGTAGAGCTGTTAAAACAGGCTTAACTCGCTGAACTAGCCTATCTCGCCACGCCAAAAGAACAAGACGAGCTCTAAAAATCAGAGCTCATATTATAGCGGAATTTTAGCTCGTCCCTATTTAACCCGCCGGTTTAACGGGGCGGGCTTCGTCCTGTCGGTCCGTTTTGATAGCTCTAGCTAGCCGCAAGTATGGTCAAAGGGGATAACAAAAAATACCTGACGTGAGCTTGCGAAAGCATCTTCCATCAAGGATGCTAATCCAATGCACTCGAAGCTATAATCAACGCCTCCATCCGTCATTTTTTTAATGGCCTATATATTTAAGGTAAAGTTTAGATTTGTTTAATTATTAAATTAAAATAACAGAAAAAATTTATAGTTTTTGATCTCTTAATTGTACATTTTTAAATTTAAATCTAATTTTTCTATTTTAATTTGTACAAATATGACTTTTTAATTGCTAAACAAGTTATAAATTTTGTCTATCAATTCATTTAAGACTAAGACATCGAGTTTTGTTTGTACCTAGGGTTATCATTTATTTATTTATTTTATAAATTTTGGTACAAATGGATTTTAACACCTCAATTTATAACCATTTTAACAAATAAGGCAAATTATTATGTCGACCTAGTCTACCTTACAAGGTGGACCCAGGTCCAAATGTTCACAATTTATTTTTTAAAAATTCACAATGTGTATACTACGAACACATAATGTTAACATATATATAATTGATTATATTATTTTGTATTCACAAGTTCCTTTCAAGTACTGCAGTCACACAATATTAACATATTAGGATTTGGTGACTTGTATTATATTAACATAAAAACACAATTTATATTCTAAAAGTTCACAATTTCAATACTAAAAATACACAAATTATACGTCGTTTAGGACCAGGGTCCACGTTGCTAGGTGGACCCTGGTCCATGGTATAACAACTAAACAAATAAAGGACTGTATTAGTAAAAGTTGAAAGGGTGAGTCTAAATTTAACTCGAGAACAATTAAACGACCAAAAATGTAGGGAGTAATCTTTTTTTTAAAAAAATAAAAAATAAAATTATCTTTTTAATTACTATTTTAATATGATTTGGAACAGTTTTACGAAGATGTAAGCATAAATTCAAGAATGAAAGATGCATCTAACCTCCGGTACTGAACTTTCCCCAATAGCTTTTGGATTAATAAAATCTGTAAGTCCAAACTTCTTCCCTACTCATTGAACAAATATAATAATAAATAAATAAATAATTCATTATTTAATATTAATATTTTTAATAAATATTTTGTAACACTTACCAAGTTCAAATTTGTCTGGATTCAAATCAACGCCTATTATTTTTGAAGCTCCCCTTAGCCTTGCACCTTCTGCAACCTATTATAGTTTGAAACCAGTAATTGATGACTAAATTTTATTCTGAATAATAATTGACAATAATAGAGTTCAAAAATTTACTTATAAATAATTAAATTTTTAAACACTAATTTTTTTAACACTATTTTTTTTTTTTTTGAGAATAATTTTTAAACACTAATCACAAATCATTAATTTCATATTTGTGGTGATATTATAAATATAATACGTGTTGTTATTTGTAATAGTTTCTACTAAATTAAAATATAATCGAGATTTGTATATATATATATATATATATATATATATATATATATATATATATATATATATATATATATATATATATATATATATGAAATTATCCAAAACAAAAAAAAAACTCAAATTACCGCAAGTCCTACAGCACCGAGTCCAAAAATTGCAACTGTAGAACCTTTCTCAATCTTTGCAGTTTTCCACGCTGCTCCTACACCTGTATATATATACACCAACATTAAT